GTCATATAAATGGCGGATTGTTTACGTTCTGTGCATAGTGTTTAGTTGTGTGGTTGTGTTTCATTAATTATTTTGTGGATTTAAACAATTTATAGTTTGTGTTGAACTAAAAAATCGCTTCAGATGGATTCCTTAAAGCGTCAGCAAACAAAATATCTGAATTTAAATTCGTTCTAAAATTATTATAGAGTTTTTCTTGCAAAAAAAATTAATTCCATTAGGTGGAAGCCCCCTTTTATGGTTGTCGCATCCCAGTTACAAACTGTCTAACAGCCCTACAGAGTTTTCCCCATTGATCAATGTGGGCCCGAATCGAAGTAACTCTAGCTGATAAGCGGTTTAAATAAATAACCTGCTCTTATCAAAGGCCTAATCCCTTTGGAGTGCGATGAGGCCTTTGATAATGTCCAGCGCAGTTGTGGACGAAACGTCAGGAAGAAATTCCCATGGACCACGGCTTCAAAGCCCGAAAAACATTTCAAAATGTGATTTAACCTGCCGTGAAAGCCTTCACAGTCTGATAGAAATTGAATTTTTTATTAAACATTTTCTCCTACTCGGCTTATCGTTTTGGGGGCAATTAGTCTTCATCAGATAATTTGAGCAGTTAAGGGCCCCTTATTTATTTAATAAATTCCCACGATGAATTCGCGTTGAGTTACGAGCATTGTTTGGAAAGTTTGCGAATTAACGAGTTCGTTGGCAACAAAATCTGTGCAAAAAATCATTTTTATTGCGCAATCGTACGTTTCTTGTTTCTGGCTGTCATTTTTAAATTGTGCGAACATTTTCCGCAGGAATCAGTCCAACTAGAGACTTCTTTGATTACAGCAAAGCCTGTTTGATGAGTGGAAATCGTTTCCATTTTCGGTCTACTTCAGGCAATTTTAAAAAAATGTTTAAAGTTTTCGTCGAGTATTTTGCAGGCCAAAGTTTCACATTTATTTCCTCTGCAACTTGCGAACTGACAAAGTCAGTTCTAGAAGAATTTTATAGGCAAATATTTCCCATATTGTTGATAAAAGTTTCAATGGTCCATCATCAGCAAAATTTCGCAAATTTGCGTTATGGTTTTTGCAGTTGTGGCAGGCCGGAGTTTGGCATTTATTTACCCAGAAACTTGCAAAGCTAGAAACTCGATTTTTTGACTTTGAATCATTTTCAGGAAATTTCCGGGCACTTTTTCAAATGCTGTTTCTATTTTGCGCTCGTTTATACAGGCCGGAGTTTGTCAATCATTCATTCAGAACGCAGTTAAACAGTGATATTTGCATGGATTTTGTTGCGAATATTTTGTTTTAAAGGCCAGAAAAGTGTGGATTTTGAGACACTCAGGCAATTTTCAATTTTTTAACAGATTTGCGCTCAAATGCTTCGATTTTTGCTCATTAAGCTCTGCTGACTGCGAGTAGAAAGCAAAGACGTCTTTAGCCAAATTTGTCCCTTAGATTCCACATCAACAAAAATTGAATGAAAAAACCGTGCGGCTGAAAGGGTCAAAGTCGAGGCAAAATAGTGCATATAGACAGGCCCTTTAGACCGGAATAAGAAGGTTCAAGCTTGTTTTTATGAAGAGTAGTGGCCAAAAGCATTGGCGCAATTTTCCCGAATGGGGTCAAGTTCTGTGCATTTGGGGGATTTTTGCATTGAAAAGACCCAAACCGCTGAATCAATCAGCCGGATTTTAAATAAAAACACTTTGTTCTTCAAGCTTTTTTAGTTGAAAGCGGCGATTGAAGTTCACCCCTGTTTAGTTCAACTAGCTTTCTGAGCTTCCACGGGTTGATGGTTAACTTAAAAAACCATGCTGGATCTTCCATGGGAAAGAACTGCAAAACTTCTTCAGGTGCATCGTAGATACTGAAGCCATCAAGAGAACGCTTGGCAAATCCACTCTTTAAATAAATAATTTTTTACAGGCCCCAATAAATGGCAGGAATTAATTTGTGGTAATTCCTGCCAACTTAGATAAATTGATGTGGATTCGCTGGTCTATTTATAAACGCCTCCCATTAGAATGTGTATGACTCCAAAGCCCAACAACCTAGTCAAATGAGAGTTCTACAAACAGGCTCAGTATGTGCGATTCGTACAGCTGAACAGGCGTTTTCGTCTTATAAAACGCTTATGTGGGCCGCAATTTGTTTGCACACAAGTTTTTGGATAGTTATAGTTAACTGTGTTATTGTTGCGCATTCAAGAACTGTCCAGTCGGTTTTATTTATTGCTCACTTTCAGCTCGCAGCATTTGGCTAATAAAGGTGGAAACTTGGAACGTCGGGTTAATATTAAATGCCCATCCAAGTCCCGAAAAGTTCAAGGAAGACGGCTCAAAGTCCAAGTATCGATTAGCAGGTTATTTATTTAAACCGCTTATTAGCTAGAGTTACTTCGGGGCCCACATTGACCAATGGGAAAAACTGTGAAGGCCTTCAGGGCCGGTCAAATTTACATTTAGAAATGTTTTTCGGGCTTTGAAGCCGTGGTTCATGGGAATTTCTTCCTGACGTTTCGTCCACAACTGCGCTGGACATTATCAAGGCCTCATCGCGCTCAAAAGCGATGAGGCCTTGATAATGTCCAGCGCAGTTGTAGACGAAACGTCAGGAAGAA